TCATTTCCCCAGCTTCCATATTCCTTCAAGCATTGTCACATCCTGCATTAGATACACTCTAATTTCTTCAAGCATTGTCATAATGGGCTTGGATCTAGCAACTACAAACATATAGTTGAAGGCCTCAGACATATTATTAACTAAAGTGTCACATCCTGTACTTGGCATGAATCGTGATTTACTCCAGAATCTTGGTGGAATTTTGATGAGATGTTTGAATGCCTCTTCATTAACTCCCTTGATTTCAAGCATTATTTTCTTCCAAACATTTACGTAACTTGCACATACAACCCTTCACATCAATTCCTTCAGTTTTAGGCCAGGGAACTTCTTCCTGAAGTTGTTATATAAATGCCTACAATGCACAATTTAAGTAATTAGTCTTAACTAAAATCCTATGCACTAATTAAGTAAACATAATATATAAAATCCTGCAATGCATAGTTTAAGTAAACATACCTAACATAGAATCTATGGTCAACATTACCAAGTAATTCATCAATAGCTGACAGCAACTCTGCATTAAAAAATAAGTAAAATTGATGGTGATAGTTACCTTTTGTGGATAACTAATTAAGGTATAGGTTTTGCACAATTTGACTCCTCCCGAATCACCTATCAATAATTCTAAGAACCAACTCCATGAGTTTTTAGTTTCACCCTCAACAACAGTATATGTAATTGTTAGCATTTGGTCATTTGGGTCCCTCCCAATAGAAGCTAGTATTTGTCCACCATAGTATCCCTTTAGGAAACACCCATCTAATCCTATAATAGGTATGCACTTAAAAAAAAACTTTCCTTGTAAGCTTTAACACATACATACATCCTCTGGAAGTGGGGATTCATTTGACCAGGGGTTTCCACTGCTCTCCCCTTGAACTGGTTGACTTGTAATCTTGACAGTTGATCCTGGGTATTCCCTTAAGAGTTCATGGCTATAATCATGGATTATTTTATACTGCTCTCTAAATGAACCATCCACAATATCAATGGCTAGTGGGTTTCTCTATATGCCAATGTCATGTTAATCCCAACATTCCACTTTTCATGTGTCTTCTCCATAATACCAATCAACTTCAAAGATGGATTCTTTCTAACACTTGTTCGAATCTTCTTGCCCAACCATTTTGAATTCAGGAACCTAATCTTATAATCCCTATTACATGTATGCTTTTCCATAATTATCCTCAATTGTCAAGTCTCTTCACCTTTTATATTTGCACAGTAAGCCTTCCATGGAGAACCTGCCTTTCCTTTTACTCTCATTCTTGTTTTATTATTTTTAGAAAATTTCAAGCTCCTTCCTAAATGTATAACATATGTTCTTATTGTCTCTTGAAATACACCTTTTTTAGAAAAATATGTACCAAGTTCCCATTTGCAGTCTTCGATTCTTTTTGGAAGCTTAAATGTTATATAATCATAATTTACAACCTCATTATTCTCACTATCATACTCATTAGGCAATTCATCATTATCATACTCCTCAATGTCACTTAAACCTCTCAAATTTTCCACCAAGACCTCACAATCATTATCAGCACCTTCATTCATAACAAGGACCTTTTCCTTATCTTTCCCCTTACCTTTCCTCTTTGCTTTTTTCCTTAATTTTTCCTTTCCCCTTACCTTTCCCCTTGCCTTTTGCCTTACTTTTTCCTTTCCCCTTACATTTTGCATTCACTTCATCCCCATCAATTGTTATATCTCCATCAATACCTATATCATTTTCCGAGTCTTCAAAATTGACACTCAAAGCATTGCCTTCACTTCCTTCTTCTGCCACATCTCCTTGGTTACAATTAACTACCTCATCTTCTTATTGGTTACATTTCAGTCCTTCATTAATTCTCTTTACTTCAACATTCATCCCTTGAACCACATTCTCCTCACTGACACAATTGGTCTCCATATTATCCTTGTTGTTACAATTTGTCTCCTCTTGACCCACATTCTTCTAAATTTTACATTTGGTCCCCACATTCTCCTCATTAACTTGTCCAAAATTTCAAAGTAACTCCAATAATCGGGATCAACATCCCAAATTTCCTCTAACCCTACATAACTTGACTTAGTAAAATTGGCAAACTCCCTAGAAAACATACCGGAATGATGAATAACACACTAAAACTTACTCTCCATGACCTAATCAGCCTACATATGGTACCAGAAGTACTAAGTAAGTTGGGTAAAAAAGAAAGTTAAATTTTTAGTAACTTACGGTTGCAAATTCGTACCTTAGGGTTTCTTCTTCAAACGATGGATGAGTGTAATTCGTCTTTAATGGAGGATTGTGAACAATGTCGTTATCGTCTTCAATGGAACTTGCGTTGTGAAATCATCTTCATTGTTTCTTCTCTCAAGTTGTGTTTTCACGAACATATGACCTAAGCCCTAACACCTCTCAGCATCTTCTATTTATTATTTGTAATATTTTAATCAATATAAAACAAATAAATATTCCAACTTAGCTTCTTCTATTTGTTAGTGTAATATTTTAATCAATATAAAATAAATAAATATTCCAACTCAACCATTAAAAGTCCAGCAAAATAAGTTCTAATGTTTTTTCAATAAAAACTAACAGAAATGACTAAAATATATAACAAAGTATAAGTTAATGGACGTAACATTTTTTTAGGGACTAAAGAGAAATATTGACTAATGTTAAGGGACCAAAAGAGGTATTAAGCCTTTCATTTTTTCATTAACTAACCTTTTACATTGAATTAACTAACTTTAGTGATTGCTCAAAATTATTTTTAATATTTGAACATTTATTAATCAACTTCATAACTTCATTAACCAACTTTTTATTTTTTTATTAACCAACTTTGATTTACTATTAAAAATTATATTTAATATTTGAGCGTTTATTAACCAATTTTTTTAATTCATTAATTAAATTTTTATATTTTATTAACCAACTTTGTTCACTCTTAAAAAATCAATGTTCATGTAACATGTACAGACGTTATTCACGATACTGTTTACACACACATGTATTGTTCACATAATACTGTTTATAGACTATTCTGCATTGTTCACTGTATATAACACTATTCACCGTATTTATGAACAGTACATTTATATGCTTTTTAAACATAACATTACTATATTCAAAATTAATGGAGTCTCAACTATACTCAACCGAGATGCCACACATAACCAAATATTTTAACAATATACCAATAAACACCTATTCAAACCTTTTACTATTCACCATCATCATACCATTTTGTTCAAGTTAAGAGCAATATGATGTGGAATAACCATGAGAATATGCCCTTTATGATCAAAATTTAAAACTCATAAAACACTTTGAGAAGCTAAAATAAACACAACACCATGATGCATTATAACATTTCAACTAGCATACAATTGGCATGTGAAACTGAATCTTCAAGCAGTGTTGAAATCGTCATTACCATGACTTAATAGAATTTGATAAGTATCAAATACCTAACCCTTTTTTTAAATTAAATAAGTGAATGCTGATGGCTCAATGATCTGGCTTCTTTTTAACCCACATATAGAAATTTTGTTTCTGAGGTTCCAATAGAAATGGTCATTGAGTCATCAATATTCTTAAAACTTTCTTTATTTGTTTATAATTTTGTAGTGATAACCAAACTCATTAATTTTTTTTAACACTACAACATTAAAAAAAACAACGAAAATAAAAGTTATTTTTTAAGTTACATTTATTGATCGAAGTGGTGAATTATTTTTCACTTCGTTCAGTCAACTGAGACAATAAACTGTTTTTCATTTTAATCATAACACCTTATATAATTTCGAAAGTTTATTTAATGAAAAAATTTTATTTTGATATGAAATGTTATTTTTATATAGTAGTGTGAATTCAAACCTTAAAATATGTTTAAATTGAAAAACACTTTTATCATACAATCTTTAAAATATTACAATTAGGTAAATAATGATGATGCAACCTTAGTTAACTACAATTACTATATAAGATTATAGAAGCCTCTAAAACATGAACTTACAACCACAAATATGATTATGATTACAATTTAAATAATTTAATTAGTCCAATGAAGTCTAAGCCAACCTAACAATTGTTTTTCCACAATATTCCACCAAAACCTTATGTCATTTAAGAGTGAATACTATCCACATCCAACATATAATGATCTTAGAAGTACACTCACACATTAATATAATAAAAATGACTTTAAATTCCAAACATTGTATTGTGCTTGCTTGCTTTAAACATAACAGTCTTCCATTATAGTTATTATACTCCCCATGATGTGAAACTCATTTGTCTCTATATTACGTAAGCATATATAATTTTCTTCAAAATGATTATATCCACAAACTTAAATCGCATTCACCCTTTGGGCCACTTGTATGCATCATCCATATACATATAAACATGTCCATCTCTATGTTATTAAACATAGAAAAACATACAAAACCTCGTAGCTGAAAGAAACCAACATGTCCGTCTTGTTTAAATTTTCTCTACAAAAATTTGCGAAAAACATATATAATTGAAGGGATATACTTAAAAAAATTTGATTTATTCTAAACAAAATTAAGGCAGGACAGATCAGGTTTATAGACATTTTATTTTTAATTTTTAAAATTGCTAAAATTTATGTTAATATTCGCATCAACAAAAATATTAAAAATTACAGATTTAAAATATTAATCTATTTTAAAAAAATACAGACAAAACAGATATCTCCCCGAAAGCGGAACCATTTTTATAATTTTTCTATAATAAGATTATACTAAAACAAACCATATACACATGATGTACATGACATTAACATACCAAAAAACTTTTTAACAAAAACATCAACATTGTGAACTCAACTATTATCCAAGTAGGTCCACTTCATCATTATCTTCTCCCTATATAATACCTACTCTCTTCCCCTCACTCTTCAAAAAAAACCATTTCAACCTTTCATCACTCTCATTCCTCAAACCTTAATTTCCTCAAAAAACATTCCTTAAAAAACATGCAAACAAGAGAAGTAACAACAACCGGACTCAACTACATGCTCCCATCAAACACATCACCATATCTTCAAACCTACAACAACATTAACCCAACATTCCATCTCCAAAAACTCTCAAACCAATTATTCAATTACCAAAACACCCCTCAATTTCACCATGACTTCCATTATAGTCCTCAATCCTCATGCATAAGTAGCAACTCAACTTCTGATGAAGCTGATGAACAAAACCTAAGCCTCATCAACGAGAGGAAACATCGACGGATGATATCGAACCGAGAATCGGCCCGTCGATCGCGTATGAGGAAGCAGAAACACCTTGATGAACTTTGGTCACAAGTCCTTTGGCTAAGAAATGAAAATCATCAACTTATTGAAAAACTTAACCATGTTTCGGAGAATCATGATCAAGTTGTTCAAGAGAATTCTCAGCTGAAAGAAGAAGCTTTGGAACTTAGACAAATGATAAGAGACATGCAGATTCATAGTCCTTTGATTCCTTCTTTTAGTCCTTTGGAAGATACTTATCTTAGAGATGATTCTTCAAACAATTCCATCTAAGTTCTATGGATCTTCTTGGTTATAATTTGAAGATTATAAGGCCAAAGTTTTATCTATTTGGTTTAATATCTTTATTTTGTGTTTATGTTCAAGTCAATATTACTAGTTTCCTACTCCTTCTTTAGCTATATGTATGAGGTGAAAATAATATATATGGCAATAACTTGATTTAAGCTTTTTATTTTATTTTAAGCCTTAAGTGATAAATATTTAAAGAGACTAAAAAATTAGAGCAAATTTTTATTTTGGTTTTTAAGGTAGATTTAGAATGTTCATGTCTAATTATCGTGCGGATGTACGAATTTTTTATTGATTAAAATTTTTAAAAAATTTAAAATTTAATATCTCATTTTGAAACCGATGATAAAATATTCTTAAATGTGATTTTTATTATTTAATTTGAATTTTGAATATGTATTTTGTTTGTAGGTTTAATTATGGAATGTGTTTATATTTTAAGATATAAATTATGATAATTTTGATAAATTCAGACATCATAATGTTATTGTTTCATATATTTAATGACTAAAATGACAATATATTCTTCGATAGATTAAGTCTCTAATTTTATGTTTTAGAGCATAATATAAACATTTAAGATCATTAACTAAATTTTAAGAGTTATCTATAAACACGTTGGATTAATGTGTTAAACACCAACTTGCAAGGCACATAGAAGAGTTAGAAACACCATTATGATTCATTTCTAGAAAACAATATAAAAAAATTGAATTGATTTTTTTTTTAGAATTTATTTCAATTTGAATGTATGATTCTAACTTTTATCTTTAAACATGAATTTTATAATCAAATCTATTATTCAACTTATTTCAATGGATATATTTAAATATAAAATAATTTATAGTAAATTCACTTTTAATTAAAACTAATCACACATTTAATGACCTCATCTCGAAGCAATAACAATTAACACTAGAAAATTGTGGATTAGATAGAAAGGAAGAAAAAGATAAAATGACATATAATATACAAGATATGAATTAGCCAAAAGAAATCTATATGAATGTGAAGCCAAAAAACAAATTAATATAATGATTAGTGTAGACTAATAATGAATTAATGGAAGTAATTATATCAGGTGGAAATGGATAGGGAAGGAATTGGACATGACACTGAAATTATAAAAAAAGTGTATGTAGTGGTCATTGGATGATATGATAGAAAAGTTGCCATAAAAAGGAAAAACATTTGGACATGCTAACCCACTACAAATTATTATCACACTATTTATTGGCTTTTTCAGACCTACCTTGACTGCATATTATTTCCAGAAAAATGCTATTCCTACACCATTTTCTACACCCAATACTTACACCGTATGCACTATTCACCGTATTTATACGGTGAACAGTGTTTTTTTTATTAAAATAATATATTTTTTTAAAATATTAATTTTTTTAAAAAAAAATATTTATTTTTAAAATTTATTTTATAACACAAATATAAGATTGCGCATTAACCAACTTCACAGTTGCATTAACCACAAAAATCTACATTATTAACCAGTTATTTTACCTATAATTTATTAACCACTTTCACTACTTCATTAACCAATAAAATACACACTATTAACCATGTTCTGGGAAATTTGTTCAAGTATTTGTGAACAGTAATTGAGGTGTAGGGTGTAGAAATGGGTGTCAAGATAGCAATCCTGTTATTGGAATACAACTTCAGTTTTCCTTTTTTTCTTTCCTATGTTTTCATAATAAAAAATAAAAGTTTGAAAGAGATCCTACCCAAGCTATGTGTATTATTCATTAGCCAATAATGTAACTTTTTTTTTATAATATAGTTTTGATAATATATATATATATATATATATATATATATATATATATATATATATATATATATATATATATATATATATATATATATATATATATATATATATATATATATATATATATATATATATATATATATATATATATATATATATATAATCTTCAAGATATAGTAGTTTTTCTTGTATTAATCTTTTTGACATTCATGTGGTCCTATTGTGTTGCAAAATCTTAAGAGAGTAACACTTGAATGAGATATTGACATCATTAAATTTAGGCACAAATTTTGAGTTTGTCTTAAAGTTTTGTTTACTGCTAGAAGCTAAAAGTGGGATAAAAGTTACACAAATGATAGGTTGACACTACATCGTATAAATATATTGGTATTTTTTTAATTCATCTATTTGGCAAGGGTAATTTTGTTATTTTGCTTTGATTTTTAGGGTTAACTCACCGACTTCACAAACCGTTTATTAGAAATAAAGTTGCAGCAGCGATCTCTCTCTCAAATTTAAAATTGACGACAACAACGGCGCTCTCGATTCAAAACTAGCGACAACAATGATATTCCTGATAAAAAATCAACAATAGCAACGACTATCTCTCTCTATCTCTCTCTATAATGATATTTTTGATAAAAAAACAGCAATAACAACATCTCTCTCTCTCTCTCTCTCTCTCTCTCTCTCTCTCTCTCTCTCTCTCTCTCTCTCTCTCTCTCTCTCTCTCTCTCTCTCTCTCTCTCTCTCTCTCTCTCTCTCTCTCTCTCTCTCTCTCTCTCTCTCTCTCTCTCTCTCTCTCTCTCTCTCTCTCTCTCTCTCTCTCTCTCTCTCTCTCTCTCTCTCTCTCTCTCTCTCTCTCTCTCTCTCTCTCTCTCTCTCTCTCTCTCTCTCTCTCTCTCTCTCTCTCTCCTCAACATAGTAAATTGTAAAAATTAAGAGGAGTGTTATTTTTACACCAAAAATCTTACACCATATATCTACACCATCTAAAATATAACAGATGCATGTGTTTATTATCTGAAAAAGTGAAAAAAATTTATTAAATATATTTAAAAAAAAACAAATCGTATAAAACTACAGTGTGAGATGTCACTTTTGGTGTAGTCAAACCATTTCTCAATAGTTAAATAGGATTGACCAAGTATAATTTTAATAATAGAATTTACATAAATATTATTCTTAAACTAACATATATACTACACCGTATTTTACTGTTCACCAATACGGGGAACACTAAAATATGATAATAATAAAATATTTTTTTAAAAAAATATATAAAAATTAATTATTTTTTTATATCTGAACATTTATTAACCAATTTTATAACTTTATTAACCAATCTTTTATATTATATTAACCAATTTTGTTTTACTGCTAAAAATTATTTTTATATCTAAACGTTTATTAACCAATTTCACAACTTCATTAACCAACTTTATTTTATTAATAAAAATTATTTTTAATATCTGGACCTTTGTTAACCAACTTCATCACTATATTAACCAATTTTTTTATATTTTATTAACCAACTTTGATTTACTATTAAAAGGTATTATTTATGTACTGTTCACACATATGACATTGTTCACATAACATTGTTCACACTACTGTTCATGTACTGTTTTACTGTTCACGATACTGTTCACTGTATTTGTGAATAGTGCATACGATGTAGGTGTAAAGAAGGGTGTAAAGATAACATTGCTGTAAAATTTAAGGTGACAAAGTTTAAACAAAGTTGACAAAATTCATAAAAGAAAACGATAAAAAAAAAACTATTATTAGTATAAAATTTAGGATTTGCCATGTTTTTACTATGATTTAATTTTAAAAATCAAAATTCAAATAAATTTGTCAAAAGGCATTGGTACCTAGCTAAAATTTATGTTTACCAAAAGATTTTTTTTTTTTTAATATTTTTGTGAGATGTAGTTACATATTTATTTTGAAAATTGTGGATGTAACACCTCAATATAATACAATACAGGTCTAAGGTCTAAAATATTATAATGTGAAGTATTAGCTTGGTACTAAAAATCATACATAAGTGTCTAAGTGACATATTGAAATCATGTACAATACATGTAATACAAAAGGAGGTACATGATATACATTAGACGTCTATACAAAATACTAAAAATAACAACACAACCAAAAATCAAGATATGAAACGTCAACATCTTCGATCTTCAGGCTATATTTCCTTTACCTTTTTTATGCCTCGAGGTATCTGAAATATACAACATGAATGGGATGAGATACTAAATCTTAGTGAGTTCTATACTACACCTTAAGTCCGCTAAGCTCTACATGGTTTACTATCCTTATTCTCATTTCACTAACACTACTCTCATGTGCTATTTCACAAAACTAAGAAAATCAAAGCTTATTTCGGATTTATATATCATGTGAAAGAGTGGGGTGAGATATTAAATCTTAGTGAATTTTATACTACACCTTGAGTCCACTAGGCTCTACATGGTTTACTATCCTTATTCTCATTTCACTAACACTACTCTCATGTGCTATTTCACAAAACTAAGAAAATCAAAGTTTATTTCAGATTCATATACCATGTGAAAGATTGATAACTCACGTACCCAATTCATATAAAACTTAGAAGCTAGGATTTGCATTTCGAACATCTTCGACGAACAACTAACATTCGTCAGTGTTTTGAAAATCACTCGATGAACAATGATCATCTCATGAAAAAAGATTTCCTAATTACACAAGCCATGTAGAACAACATGAGCTTGAATTTTCATGACGAAGCCTAGACGAACTTCTAGCCCAACTATTTTTTCGAACACCCTTGATGAAAGACAATCCACTGCCCACTAAGGTAAAGTCATACGGAATTTACCCGCCTTCCTTCTATCGGGGACTTACCCTTATACGTTTCGAACTACACTTAATAGAAGCCATATAAATCTAGAATTTCACTAGTCGATTCACTTTTCCTCAGAATCATTATATCAACTTTCGCTAAGGGTTGAAGTGTCATCGAACTCTTAGAAATTTCTCATGACCGAATTCTATTTCGATCCTATGACTTCCTCAAATACTAGATATTTTACTTTAGGTAAGGATACACATCATTAGAATTTTAAATTTCTATCCTAAATAATTTATCTTAGAGACTTTCTCTATTATCATCTTCAATCGAACGATCAACTTTGATACG